CCGGGGCAAAATGAAAATGTGGGGCCTTTGTTCAAAAATTATTATGAATTTCAAGACAGCAACAACAGAGCAGGGCCCTCTGGAGCCTGGGACCTGAGGCCAGGAGCCGGCCCTGCTCAGGGCTCCCGTGCACTGTGGACACTGGCCAGGGCTGCATCTTCTGGAGGGTTGCCTGGAGCTGCAGGCTTTGCTTCCAAGGTGGCTCCCTCACATGTCTGTTGGTGGGAGGCCTCAGTCCTTCTCTGCACGGGCATCTCCTTAAGGCCATTTGAGCATCTTCCCAGCAGGGCAGTGAACTCCCCAGAGTGAGTGATGACAGACAGAGAGACTGAGACTGAGGCAGACAGAGGCAGAAACACACACAGAAAGAAAGAGACACCCAGAGAGAGACAGAGAGGCTGCGACAGACAGACAGAAACAGAGAGACAGAGAGAGATGGAGAGGGAGGGAGAGGAAGAGTAGCAGTGCTTTTTTTTTTTACCCCAAATTGTGGTAAAATATATGTAATCATATTTATAATTTTAACCATTTTCAAGTGCATAGTTCAGTGGCATTAAGTACGTTCACAGTGTTATGTAACCATCACCATTATCTGTACCCAAAACTTTTTCATCACCCCCAGGGCAACCTCTGTACCCGCTGAACACCCCCCTACCCCCAGGCCCTGGCAACCACCATTCTGCTTTGTCTCGGTGGATTTGACACTTTAGGAACCTCATAGATGTGGGACCATATGCCACCAGGAACATGGGTGTACAAGTGTCTGTCCCATCCCGGCCTCCGGTCCTTTGGGTGTGCACCTTGCAGTGGAATGGCTGGACCACATGGTAATTCTGTGTTTACCTTTTGGAGGACACACCATGCCTTTTTATGATCCAGTCTGGGCGGGATCACGCTGTCACCCTGCCTTATTCTGTTTATTTGAAGGCACACACAGGAGTGAAGGAGCCAAGCTCCCCTCTTAAAGGAGGCGTGTCCATGGACGGCAATACTCACACCCAGCACGATGACATAGGGGGTCGCATTAGGAGCAGGTCCCCAGGGTCGGGCTGCTGGGCAGCCGCTCACAGGCAGAGCCCCCACCCTGCACGCTTTAGTTCCTGTTCAGAGATGAGGGGGCGCCTGGGCAGAGGAGACAAGTGTGGCCCGGCCTTGACTGAACGGGGATTGGCCAGCCCTGCTACACAGTGTGGGCCCCTCCTGGGAAGCAGGCCCGGGCATCCAGGAAGGGCCTGACCCTCAAGGGTCCCTCTGTGGCCTCCAGCTCCACACACACATCCTTGTTGTACCCAACCATCCTGAGATACCTCCAACCTCCCCTCAGCCTCCTTCCAGCCTCCCCTCTGCACACTGACCCTCTCTCTCCTGGGTCTGGCTCATTTCGAAATATATTTTATTTTATTTATTTTACTCTTTGTTTTTGTTTTGTTGGGGGGGGCTAATTAGGTTTATTTATCTGCTAGTTTATTTTAATGGCAGTACCGGGGATGGAACCCAGGACCTCTCGCATGCTAAGCATGTGCTTCCCCACTGAGCTACACCCTCCCGCCTTGGGCCTGACTCACTGATGGCAAATTCCCGCCTCCTGGTTTCCGGGGCTGGAACTGCCCTCCCTTGCAGGATGGTCCACCTGTGAGCTGCGCAGGTGGGCACCTCAGGGGACCATGGCCCTGGGAGGACTTCCAGCCGAGGTGGGGGGGGGCCGGTGCAGGAGGGGAAGGTGAAAGATTTCCAGTCTCCAGACGCCCAGGGCCCATGCTGCCGCCCTGCAGCTCTTCCTTCCTTCCCGAGGCTCATCATGTTATATCACAGCACAGGGGTCCGGGGAGGGAGGGGCTCGAGAGGCTGCTTGGGAGGGGCAGAGGGACCCGCCACCCACAGCCCCCTGGCCTGGGGCTGGGGTGCTGTCCCCGGAGGCCCCCTTAGCGGGAGGTGCATCCCTGGACGCCCCCCGCCCCCTCGTGGTGGTCCTTGTCCCCCTAACCCAGTGCTCCCAGGCCGGACTCTTTCAGGGACTTTACTTCCCGCCTCTGAATGCCACCCACAGAGTTAATTGCTGCTGTTTTCACTCAGGTAAATTCTGTGCCCGCTGATTCACTTTTCCGCTGAGCCCTGTCTGTGAAACCACATCAGATGATTTACTAGTTAGGTTTTCTTCTAAACCATCAAAGTAATACTTACCTATTTTTTAAATGTTAAAAATGTTTAAGAAAGAAATGAAGAGCACGTGCACATGGCCTTGACTCCCACGCAGACCCCCAGTGTCTTCGCTCCAGGGCGACGGACCTGCCTGCAGGAGTTGGGAGCCTTGCCCCCTCTCCCCTGCTCTAGGGGGCAGGGGTGGCCTCCCCCAGGAG